TCAAGATTTGCCAAATGAGTTACTAAAAAGACGGATGCAAATGCCTTTTTTTTTTGCACAGGCAAAACAGTTGGGCATCTTTTCTAATTGATATTTGAGGGGGGAAAAGAAAACATCTGCCCCACCAGCCTCTGGTTGCTGACTTCTCAAGTGGCCTTGTTCCGGGGACGACCATGACAGCTCTACAAAGATGCTCTGAAACTCTCCTTGAAGCATCGCCTCATTAACATTAATTGCTGGGAGGGGCTTGCTATGGATTATTCAAAATGGCGATAGTATGTCCATCAATTTGCATCATACAACGATGTGGCAGGGAAAGAAAGTTAAAGGAAGGTATTCCTGTTTTCTGGATCCCACCAACTCATGGGATGTCCAGCCCCACATACCAAAAGATCTTTGGGTTGGGAATCAAGCTGTGAAGTCATCTGAAGACCAATCGCAGAAACCAGTGACCCTAAGTGGATGACATCCTGTTATCAAGGAGCAACCGACTTGAGTGGATTTGGAATTGGTGTGAGATGTCTTGCTGCATGTTTATTGCTTTGATCATCACAAGAATGATCCTTGGGATGAAGGGCATGTCATGTGAGGAGCAGTTGAGGACTCAATGAAGTTTAGAAGGATGAGGGTGTATCTCATTGAAACTTAGAGAATACTGAGGCCTGGATAAAGTGGACATGGAGAAGATGTTTCCACGAGTTGGAGGGACTAGGACCTGAGAGTGCAGCCTCAGAGTGAAGGCATACCCCTTTAGAACTGAGCTGAGGAGGAATTTCTTCAGCCAGAGGGTGGTGAATCTGTGGAACTCATTGCCGCGTAGGGCTGTGAAGGCCAAGTCGTTGAGTGTATTTAAGGCAGAAGATAGATAAGTTCTTGATTGGTAAGGGGGTTAAGGGTTATGGGGCGAATGCAGGAAAATGGGGGTTGAGAAACATATCAGCCGTGATCGAATGATGGAGCAGAACTGATGGGCCAAAATGGCCTAATTCTGCTCCTGTGTTATGCTGTTATGATTTTTGTAGGGGTTGTTGCACTAGACGTTCAATCAACATTGGGGTGTCAGTAATTTTTATAACACCATTTGGTCCAAATATGCATAGTGCCCAATGGATTTTTCTATCCTCCTATGTAATGATGCCAAGGAATATGGGTATAGAGTGCAGGAAAGTGATTTGGATGCAGATGATTTAACTGGATAGCAGAGCAGTATCAATGGGCTGAATGGCCTACTTGTGCTTCTGTGTTCTAATGTTTAAAGAAAATGTAAAGAAACAAGAATGAGAGGACGTAGATATAAAGTGCTGAGCCAACAAAGCAAGGGTGATGTGAGGAAGAACCTTTTCACACAGTGCATAGTCAGGAACAGGAATGTACTGCTGGAAGTGTGGTGGAAAAAGGTTCAGTTAAGGCATTCAAGGGCATTGGCTAATTATTTGGACAGAAATGGTATGCGGAGATATGGGGGAAAAGGCAGGAAACTGGCACTGGATAATAGAATAATAGGCAAAACCGCAGCCTCCTGTACTGTAACAAATCTGTGATTCCAAGCAACTTGGCCAGGAAGGAGGGAGACAGAGTCAGAATGAAATATTAAGAGGGTTTTGTGGTTTTTCTTACAGACTGCTGCGGTGGTCAATTAAATAGTGAGACTTGACGATCTCAAAAGAATTGCTCACCGTCTGCAGTCAGAGAATGATGATGGGAAAGAAATTCTCAACCAATTTGTTTTGGGTGCCTGGTGTGACTTTCGGTGGAGATCAGGGGTGCTAGTTATCTTGGCAGGTCTGGCAGGAAGTGTGGAGGAAAAGTTAATGCTTTGGGTCCGGCGACCCTTCCAGTTCTGAGGAAGGGTCACTAGACCCGAAACGTTAACTGTTTCTTTTTTTTTTGTTTTTCCTTCACAGATGCTTTTTTGTTTTTTGTTTTTGTTTCTGATTTATAGTACCTGCAGTTCTTCCGGTTTTTTTGCACTAGTTATCTCAGTTGGCTAAATTGGCATGTGGTTCAGAATAATAACAATGGTGGGACTCCTATTCTGGCTGTGGTAGAAACTTGGGAGACTTGTCTCTTTCCTCTGCTCCCAACTGAAAGATGCAGTGGTGAGTTACTGTCAAAGAATGGCTCAGAGTGATGCTTCAGCAGACAGTGAGCTGACGACCTGTCTTCTGCAAAGTGCACACACCACTGTGACCTAATAGCCTTTCAGGGAAGGAAAATGCTGTCCTTGCATCATCTGGTCAACATGTGACTCCAGATCTACAGCTATCTGGTTGACTCCTACCTGCCTCTGGGCAATTAGAGATAGGCAATAAATGGGTGGCACGGTGGCTCAGTGGTTAGTAGTGCTACCTCACAGCACCAGGGACCCAGATTTGATTCCACCCTCCGGCGACTGTCTGTGTGGAGTTTGCATGTTCTCCCTGTGTCTGCGTGGGTTTCCTCCCATGGTCCAAAGATGTGCAGGTAATGTGGACTGGTCATGCTAAATTGTTCATAGTGTCCAGGGATGTGCAGGCTGGGGGGATTAGACATGGAAAATACAGGGTTATGGGGATATAGTAGGAGGGGTTAGTGAGTCTGGGTGGGATGCTCTTCAGATGGGCTGTTGTGGACTCAATGGGCCAAATGGCCTGCTTCCACACTGTAGAGATTCTATGATTTTAAATGCTAGTCCACCAGCAAAACTCCTACCCTGTCAATAGTTAGGTCTGCAGTTTTATGTCTGGCCACAAGGTGGAATTGTGCCAATGCTGGCAAAGTGACTGGCAAAGGAAAAGCTCCACCACACTCACTGCAATTAAAAGGCAAAGAAATATCATTTCGCTTTTAAATATAAATTGTGTCCCATGTTTGGAATCTTTAAACCATGTCACAAAAATGTGCAATAGTTCAGTGCTGTTTTAAAATAAGCAAATGCAGTTTAGACCTGACTCTGGAAGGTTCTGCCAGGTGCTTGGTAGCAGCTCCAGCTTTCCCTCAAAAGTCCCACAAAGTCAGTGTGTTGGGTCTGATGAGCAAACCTGACTGTATCTAGAAACCCAAAGGTCTGGGCAATTGAATTTCTGAAAGAGATCATGTTGGCTGGCTCAGCAATTAAATATTGCTGAACCTTCCATGTCTCAACCCAGACTCGGGATAAGATTTCACAAATCAGGGCTGTATTTCCTGGAATCTGGAAGACCTAAAAGGTTCAAGAAAGCATAAGGCAGATTATCTTCCATTGGTTCAGGAATTGAAGATTTGAGGATATAGTCAAAAGATCTGAAACACATCCATTGGTCATGAAATTAGCTACACTTTAACTTGGAAAGAATGGTACAGGTTTGTAACTCTGCCACAAAATGGGTGTTGATGCTGAATTGATTGTTGATTTTTAAATCCATGATTGGTAGATTATTTTTATTGAAAGCTGAATGGACACAGGCCAAGACAGTATGTTCACAGATGAGGTATAATCTTTTAGCTGTTTGGTAGAGCTTGAATATTTATAGAGGAAAGACGCATTTTGTCGAAGCTTTTCATCTTACACTTGTCAGGATGCTTGGCAAGAATACCAATAAAAGTGAAAACTAATATTTATACAGCATGAAGAGAGTGCTGATTGGTTAATAAGTCTTAGATGCATTGCCATGGAGAATCCACCAATTACGGTTATTGATAAATAAAAACCTTGTTTCAATTTTAAATCGGACTAGTTGACTCTGGTCACAGTGTGTATGGTGCTTAGATATATTCTTTCTATCTGCAAAGAGTAGGTATTTCTTGCTAATTGTCCTGTTGAGAACAGGACAAAAATCTTAGACAAACTATCTTTTGCTACGTTAATACTGAAGACACAGTCCAGTGGAATGATGGGCCATGTTTGGTGGGCTAAATGGCCTCTTCCCATTTCTATGTTTCCAAATCAAAGTAGTATTAATACAAATTTGAACGGGGTGCCTGACACTGAGCTTTTGCATAATGGGTATTTATGCAGATTAAACATATTCACCACTTCAGTGATTATCTTTGACCTCTCTTCTTTGTCTTGCATCTGATCTGACTGAATTTGACCATGCAAAACAAATCACTTTGAATTTGAATCAGAAAATTTACCCTTTTGGAATTTGTTTGAACTTAAATGTTCTGAATTAAAGGCATTTCTGCTTTTCTAACTAAGACGATGACCAGAGATGAGTACTCTGGTGCTCGGATTACAGTTTTACTTCTAGGTCTGTTGTTTGGATCATTCCGGTAATTTGGTCCACAATTGCCTCTTTGGAATTAGCTGTCGCACTTAGTATGTATCATTGCTAACTGAAAGACATAGGTAAACTTCACCCATTTGCAATTTTCTGTCTGTAGCCTCCTCCAGTACTATAACCCTCAGATCTTTGCACTCCTCCAATTCTGGCCTTTTGCATATCCTCCATTTTAAATTGCTCCACTTTCGGAGGACAAACCTTGAGCTGCCTGGGCCTGAATTCTTGAAATAGTCTCCCTAAGTGCTTCTCTCTTTCTCTCCTTCTCTCCTTTTTCTCTCCTTCTCTCCTTCTCTCCTTCTCTCCTTCTCTCTTTCTCTCTTTCTCTCTTTCTCTCTCTCTTTCTCTTTCATCTGGCTGTCTTCGCCCCTGCCACCCCCACCCACCTCGCATGTGAATGCGTGCTCTTACTCCATCCCTCCCCTCCACACCCTCTCTTCCTCGTCTCTCCTCTTTGCGCTCTCTTCCTCCCTCCCCCTTCCTCTGTCCCTTCAGCCCTCACCACCTCCCCTTCATGCTCACTCTCTATCTCTGCTTTCTTGCTTTCCTGCCTTCCCTTCCCTTCCTTACCCTTGCGCACTCTCTGTCTGTTTCCTTCCCCCTCCCTCTCCGACATGGCAACACTCCTTTGAACTGCCTTGGGACATTTCACAGAATTTACAATGAAATAAATGCAAATTGTTGCAGTTATTTTGCAACAGCATAGTGAAGAATTGATCTGTGGTTCTAATGCAATTGCCTTGATTTGCTCCCTGCCAGATGTGTGCAACAGTACTGACCTTCCAGAAGTTGAAATCATCAGTCTACTGGAAGAGCAACTGCCTCATTACAAGCTAAGAGCTGATACAATTTACGGTTATGACCACGACGACTGGCTTCACACCCCTCTCATTTCTCCAGATGTTAATCTCGATCTCACCCATGAACAAATAGAAGAGACGCTGAAATACATGCGTAAGTACAATCTCAATAACATTGTTAAACTTTGTGTGGTCAAAGGTGAGTAAACAATTTCAAATAAGGTGACCTGGTAACAACTGTGATACTTGAATGTGCATTTACAAGTTCAGTAGGCAGTCGACCATTTATTTCTCATTGGATACCATAGCTATGAATTCAGTAGGAATTATGAAGGATGTTATTGAGCTGCATGTTCATCTATGCTTGACATCAATGGAGGAAAAATAAACTGTTTAAGCATTCATTTTCCTGCAGAGAAGCCTTGGAACTGAGATGACTGACCTCCAACAACTCCAACCATCTCCCTATGTGCCAGGTATAACTGCAACCAGTTTGGGTTCCACCAGGGCTAATCAGCTCCTGACTTCCGTATAACCTTGGTTCGAACATGGGAAAAACAGCTGAATTCCAGACGTGAGGTGAGAGGGACAGCCCTCTACAAAAAGATAGCGTTCGACCTAGTGTGGCATCAAGGAGTGCTAGCAAAACTGGAATCGAGGGGTATCAGGCAGCAAATTCTCCACTGGTTGAAGTCAAACCTGGTACATAGGAAAATGATTGTGGTTGTTGGAGGTCAGTCATCTCGACTCCATAACATCTCTGCAGGAGTTCCTCAGGGTAGTGTCCTAGGCTCGACCATCTTCAGCTGCGTCACCTTCCCTCCACGATAAGGTCAGAAGTTGGGACTTTTACTGATGATTGCACAATGTTCAGCACCATTCTTGAATCCTCAGATACTGAAGCAGTCTATGTTCAAATGCAGCAAGATGTGCACATGGAATTCAGGGAGAGCTTGCCAATTGAATACAAAATTGGCTTGACGTTAGGAGACAGGGTGGTGGTGGAGAGTTGATTTTTGGACTGGAGGCCTGGACCAGTGGTGTTCCACAGGGATCGGTACTGGCTCCAGTTTCTCACATTGTTAGTAAGTTTGTGGATGACACCAAAATTGGTGGTATAATGAAGAAGGTCGTCTAAGTTTACAAAGACATCTTGATCAATTGGGTCAGTGGGCTGAGGAGGACAGATGCAGTTTAATTTGGATAAATGAGGTATTGCATTTTGGTAAAACGAACAAGGTCAGGATTTATACAATTCATGGTAGGTCCCTGAGTAGTGTTGTAGAACAGAGATCATGGGGTTTAGATGCATAATTCTTTTGAAATTTGTGTCACATGTAGACAGGCTGGTTAAGAAGGCATTTGGCATGCTTGCCTTCAATTGCTCGGATTGTACAAGAGGTTGGTGAAGCCTCTTCTGGACTACTGTGTGCAGTTCTGGTCGCCCTTCTATAGGAAGGATATTATTAAATTGGAGAAGGTTAAGAAAAGATTTACCAGAATGTTGCTGGGAACGGAGGGTTTGAGTTATAAAAATAGGCTGGGACTTTTTCACTGGAGTGTAGGAGGTTGAGGGGTGTCCTTTATAGAGGATTATAAAAAACACATGGGATTTAGATAAAGTAAATAGCCATAGTCTATTCCCTAGGGTGGAGGAGTTCAAAACTAGGGAGCATATTTATCAGGTGAGAGGAGAGTTTTTAAAAAAAGGTTCTCGGACAACTTTTTTTTAAACATGGTGGTTCATGTATGGGATGAACTGCCAGAGGAAATAGTGATGCAGGTACAGTTACAACATTTTAAAAAGACATTTGGATAAGTACATTAATAGACACGCTTTGGAGACGTACGGGCCGAATGCGCGCACAAGTGTTTAGTTTGGGAACGTGGTCGACAGGGACTAGTTGGACTGAAAGGTCTGTTTCCATGCTGTATGACTTGAGGAACAATATCCAGGCTTGGGCTGACAAGTGGCGAGTAACGTTCGCGCCAGGCAATGACCATGTCCAATGAGAGACAATCGAATCACTGTCCCCTGACGTTCACTGTCATCACTGAATCACTCACTATTCATATTCTGGGAGTTACCATTGACCAGAAACTCAACCAGACTCACTACATAAAACACAGTGGCTACGTGAGCAGGTCAGAGGCTAGGAATACTGTGGCAATTAACTCACCTCCTGAATCCCCAAAGTGTACCCACCATCTACAAGGCACAAATCAGGTGTGTGATGGAATACTCCCCACTTGCCTGGATGAGTGCAGCTCCAAAGCACTCAAAGCTTGACACCATCCAGGACAAAGCAGCCCGCTTGATTAGCCCCACATCCACAAACATTAACTTCCTCCACCACCAACACTCAGTAGCAGCAGTGTGTACTATCTACAAGATGCACTGCAGAAATTCACCAAAGATCCTTAGACAGCACCTTCCAAACCCACGCCCACTTCCATCTAGAAGGACAGCGGCAGCAGATACGTGGGAACACGACCAACTGCAAGTTCCCCTCCAAGTCACTTACCGTCCTGACTTGGAAATATATTGCCGTTCTTCTCTGGTCATGGAATTCACCCCCGAGGCCTTTGTGGGTCAATCTATTGCACATGACTGCAGTGGTTCAAGGTGGCAACTTGTCACCACCTTCTCAAGGGCAACTAGGGATGAGCGCTGGCCCAGCCAGCGATGCCCACACCCTGCAAGTGAACAAAAACAAAATTTCCCTTCATTCCCGTTAGTTCCAGTTTTGCTAGAGCTCCTTGATGCTACATGGACTTGATGTCAAAGGCAGTAACTCTCACCTCCCTGGAATTCAGCTGTTTTGTCCATGTTTAAACCAAGACTAACATAAGGTCAGAAGCTGAGTGGCCCTGGTGAAACCCAAAGTGGGCATCAGTGAGCAGGTTATTGCTGAGTAGGTGCTGCTTAATAGCACCATTGACACCACCTTCCATCAATTTACTGATGATCAAGTGTAGACTGGGGTGGTGATTGGCTGGCTTGGATTTGTCCAGCTTTTTGTGTACAGGACATGCCTAGGCAATTTTCACATTGTCTGATAATGCTAATGTTGTGACTGTACTGTAAGAGCTTGACTAGGGGCGCAGCAAGTCCCGGAGCAGAAATCTTCAGTCCTACTGCCGGAATGTTGTCACGCCCCATAACTTTTGCAGTATTTGGTGACTCCAACTGTTTCTTGATAACATGTGGAGTGAATAGAATTGCCTGAAGATCTGCGATGCTGAAGAACACAGAATGTGGACACATTTATTTGAAAGACAAACTGCAAAATAAAAAATGCCAACTCCATCTTTGAATCCTCCATGGATATGGAATAAAGCTCTAACATTTCTTTAAGAAGGAGAGAAGGAATCCTGACCACCATGGGCCAATAAGCTCAATGCTGAGGATAAGGAAACTGAGACAATAATTCAAGGGAAAATCTGATGTCTTTGAAATCTATGGGTTAAAAGACCAATTGAAGTTAGAATGTGTTTGAACAATTTGGCTGAGTTCTGGTAATGGAAAAGGGTGTTGGCCATGGGATTGATGTGTTGGTGGATCAGCAAAATAGGCTTGTTGTAAAATTTGATGCTCTTGGGATTAAAGAGACAGTCAGTGAGAGTATGGAATTGGCAGATATGATTGCATGGTTGTTTTTCTTTTCCACAAGATGGATGCTCCTCCTCTGAGAGTCCCTCAGGGTTGGAGATGACTTCTGCTGCTCCAGTTTAATGGGTTTTGAGATAGCTGATTACTCCTATGCACTGTCTGTGAACTCTCCACATGCCAAAGGACCAGATTGCAGATGAGAAGTACTTTATGAATTTACGATGTGAAATACATTATCTGAAAAGATGGTGGAAGCAGACTGAGAAGTGTAATAACTTTCAAATCTTTGATGCGTAAATCATTATCTGGCTGTGCAGTAAGGACAGAGGATTGGGACTACCTGGATATATCATGAAGAGACTGTGTGCATAATGGGTCAATTGGCCCCTTTCTATGCCTTTTCAATTTTATTTTCCATGATTCCAATCACAGTGAGTGAAGGAAATGGAATTGGAAGCACAAATATCAACTTTTGGCAGGATGCAATCTGTATGTTCAACTGGATCAAAATATTGCAGATCAACAAATTAAAAATATTGCAGATGTTGGAAACTTGAAATAAAAACCGAAAATGAGGAGGTGGAGAAATATCTTCACCCAGATAGTGGGGAGCCTGTAGAATTCTCTGTCACAGAAAGCAGTTGAGGCAAACTAATTGTTTTCAAGAAGGAGTTACAGATCGTTAAGGCTAAAAGGGAGCAAAGGGAATGGGATGAAAGTGGGAACAGGGTACTCAGTAGGATGATCAGTTACGATCATACTGAATGGTGGAGCAGGCTTGAATGGACTACTCCTACTCATCCTCTTTTCTACGTTTCTGAGGAAGCAAGTTCATAGAATCCCTACAATGTGGAAACAGGCCATTCGGCCCAACAAGTCCACACCACCCCTCTGAAGAGCATCCCACCCCGACTCATTTCCCCATACCCCTGCATTTCCCCAAGTCTAACCCATCTAACCTAAACATCCATGGACACCACGGGCAATTTAGCATGGCCAATCCACCTAACCTGTACATCTTTGGACTGTGGGAGGAAACCGGAGCACACGGAGGAAACCCACGCAGATGCAGGGGGAACGTGCAAACTCCACACTGACAGTCGCCCGAGGGTGGAATTGAACCCGCGTCCCTGGTGCTGTGAGGCAGCAGTGCTAACCACTGAGCCACTGTGAGCCAAGTTAACGGTGACTTCTTCAGCACTTTCTTTTTTATTCATTTCACAGGATGAGAGCTGAAATAACTGCACAGAGGCCGCTATCCTGTCACCTAGTCATCCTTTTATTTACATGTGCACGGTGCATGGACTCTGACCAGCCAGCTCAAAGCCTGTCCTTAGAACGAGGAGACTCTCTGAATCTTCTGTTTATATCTGTCAGCCAGGGCTCCCTGATTGGCTCAGGTTAACAGCCCCAATCAAGGAATCCATTGTCAGGGATCCACCTGGCCTTCATTCCAGTCACTACAAGAGCGTTGCTGGCTAGGCTGGCATTCATTGCCCATTACATAACTTGGTGTCTGATGACGCAGTTTGGCACTCAGA